ATTTAGATACACAACTGACATCTTTCTTACATGTGATGAATGATTTCTTATCATAAAAAGTCACTTTGTCGGAGACATTACACTCACGCTTTTCTTCCTCAAACTATCCCAATCCTAATATGATAATCGGTGTAAAGGCTGGTTCCGACTCAGCATGAAATTTGTGTTGTATTGGTTAATCAAGTTTCTTAAGTGGCAACTTTCAACTTCAGTACATGCATGTATTTTGGCGCCTGTGTGGTGTGCATATTGTCCCAAGAGCTTCTGTGACAGCACCATCAATTTGCCTCCTTATTCAGGTGGAGTGTGGACCTGTATTCAGGGCAGGCAGAGTGATGAGACATAAGCTTTTGACTTGAGTGGATTTCACCCACCACACAGCTTCACGGTGGGGGGTATACATGTCTTAGTTGGTAGCCAGCATAAGACATCCCCTCTCCAACCAATAAGATGTTGTGATTTGCCTAAATAACACACACCTTGAAGTTTAAGAACGAGCACGTGAGAGTGGTACCAGTCCCTCCCAATGCAGTACTGCCATCTCCTTGGATTAATCTAAGGGCCAGATTAAGTGTTCCTTAGGTGCTAAGCACCAGTGTTCCGTTGGCCCTTCTCTACCCATAGGCACTAGGCCCTAATTTTAAAGAGCTGTACATTTCATGTCGATGCTTGGCTGCAGAGGTCTAGGTCTGCACACAGTGCAAGAGAGGGAACAGGACTGCAACTGCATTGATAATCCCATGCCCAGAGTGAGTTGCGACACCTGCAGCTTAGAAGCCATTTAGGATCCCAAGTCAATGTGCATGTTTACACATTAAAGTTACAGTCCATCATTTGCAGTTATCTACAACAACCTGGCTTCCATATGGTCGTAATGAACACAGACGGCAAGCAAGACATCAAGATGCAGACAGCCGCAGAAGAGATGCTGTGTGATGTCACTCCACCAAAAAATTGAACAAAATGGTGTCTGAAACTGAGAAATGTTTGATAAAATGCATTTTTGTAATTGGAAATACTGCCCCTTGAAGCCAAACTGATATTCTAGGTTGATGTATTTCGTTTATGATTAGCTATTTTGTTGACAATTGGGGCTTCTTCATACATTTGTAATATGGGGAAAATCTATGGGCAAAAGGAGTGGTAATTAGCGAGAGGGACATCGTTGTTTGCCTGTCATGCCAGCGCGTGTCTGTATAGGCTTACTCTGGCAACTCAATGCAGACAGTCGGCAAAGTTGAAACCGATCAAACTTTCCTGACTGTCTGCATCAATGTTTGCGTTAGTCAGGATAAAGTGTTTCCGTACCATTGCGTACTGTCGGGGACTCATCGGCAATACTCCGTGCATCTCTTTACATAGATATGGAAACCAGGCTTACACCGTACTTGATTCAAAGATGGTTACGGGACTACACTCCTGGTGAAATTATTCATTTTGGACACATTTTTCTTATCTTCTTTAAATAATTGCTATTAGAGGCGTGCATATAAGGGTGGACACAGACGCATGCCTGGTACAACCGGCATAATTCTACGGTTCAGTGTGTGACATCACGTACATGTACATTAGCTACATTCAACTAAACATGAGAATGTGTCCCAGATGCTGATTTCAGGTGCAATTTAAAAACATGACTCAGTGAGTTTTGATCTAAAATGGAAATCCTATCGAACGAGTATACAGAATTCACTGAGCTGAAACTTCATCAGGGTTGTTCTTAGGCACCCTTCTTTTGATTAATTTTGCTGCCTCGAAAGACCAAAATGACAAATGATGGACTGTACATTTAAATTATCCATTGTCCAACTCTGATTTAAATTGTTTGTCATGCCATTTCAGAGCACTATAATGTACACACCATTTTTTCCACTTGATTGGTGTGACCCCACCCACAAATCCCAACACACTGAAAACAAAATGGTACCACAGTGTATTGTACATAGCCTTATGTCCCAGTACTACATGTACATGTATGTATCTCACAGTTATCACAAATTGATTTAATTTACTCTTGAAGCAGTGGGGGGGGGGCTGATGCAGAGTTGCATAATCACAATGGGGTAGACATTTTGAAAGCACAATAGGAATGCTCATAGAGCAAAATGTCGGTGGTGGAAACAGAGTAAGTAGGACAAAAAATGTCATTTTTCATATTATGTCAATCGCGCAGTTTTTATTTCCTTTGATGTACCAGTGTTGGCAATAAAAAACAAAAGGATTTGTTAATATGGTGTGGAATTGTTTTTTTTAAGTAAACCAAACAGACCTGAAATCTCTGATGTCAATACGATTTTAGATACACCTTAGAGGGTTGGGGTTAACCCCAGGAGGATGCATGACACCCTCCGCTGCACCTTGGTTGCCACGCTTCCGAAGTTTGAAATATCAACATACAGGGGTGCATGTACTGCAGGTTACAGGCATTTTCTTTATGCATGGCAGGTGTTGATTGCTGTTAGAGAGAGGGTGTGGCATTTTAACACCAAAGGAGTCAACAGCAAATGGGCATTGCCTTGAATTCAGTGAAGTCAAGAGATTCATTAAATGAGGGGAATTCTGCCATGACAGGCACTACATTCATAGTATTATGCACTTTGGCAAAAACACGTACATGTGTACTTATGGCAAAAGTAAATCTTACACATTTGGTACAACTCACGGTTACATGTACCGGGAGTCCCTAGTATAATATATTCATAGTATTCTGTGTTGGATGAATTAACTAATCACTCCTTCAACTGAGGGTTATGGACTTATCCCCAAATTGGGACACTTTTTTTTTTCAAATATGGTGGTATCAGTATTTGACACAATACCAGGGGTGCTTGCAGTTTTGAAGATTTCATTAAGATTCCACTTTTCATCTGTGTTAGCACTGGCATGGAATTGCCCCTGGATGAATATGCATGTAATGTGCATGTAACATGTCTGCTGTCCTATGGCACCTACAGCTTCCTGCTCCAACAAATCCACCACGGCTGGAGCAGTGGTAAAACCACATGAGCACTTATGACAGAAATTCTTCTCACAGATTATTAACAACTGATGCCTCCAAGATTTGGAAAGCGGCACATGGGTAGTAAAACTGATTTGTGATGCACATGTAACGTTTGTCTGGCATAAATAATATGTAAGAACAGACACTCTTGTAACTGAACGTTTGACAACAGAATGCTCTGGACTTACGGAAAAATAAACAAACCGGAATTCAAGAAATTCAGATTCGTAAAACTCAATGTCTTTTATCAAGCACAGAAGTACGGTATACATGTACGTGCATGTCTAAAACATCCGTCTGTCAAAACATTGCCTGTGTATAATTCAGCAAGTGCTTCATCCATGGGACTACATTAAGCTGGCAGGAAAGAAAAAAGAGGATTTGGTTTTTTTTTGCTTTTATTTCCCAAGGCCCAAGCAATGGTAATATCCTTCACGACACATACACACAAGCGCCGCTGATGCAAGACACGTTAGGTGTGCAGGGGTGGAACTTTGTGATAAATCTGCAAATATTGACGGTGCTGACTGTCCGCATGCATTTCATTTTGAATACCAGGACAGGGCAAATTTCGTGGTGGAGTCAGTCTGCACATTTACATGTCCATCTATTCATATGTCTTTGCACTGCAGGGCTTGTGGTCCTGGCGGGGCAATCTCAGTGAGTGTCAATAGCCAATACACGTGGTATCTCTCGGCACACCAATTGAGCAAAACAAATATTTAAAAGAAAAATCACTGAACCTCTCGAAGAGCCTTATTTGGTCTTAATGGCCCAAGGCACCTGGTACCAGCTTGTACGGGTTCATAATGTAAGCATATGTCTGAAATTCTGACTTCCTGATATGAAAGCACCAAAATTTGCTTCCGTCTGGGAGTGCTGCAGAAATTCCACAGGCTGACAACTACATGTACATTAGAAAGTTTAAAGGTTTTCAATTGCACATTTATCAATGGCTCTTCGTTATAAAAATCATCTCTAGGTAAAAGTACATGTACATCAGGGGCGCCTGTCACTTTGAGGTAAAACACAATAAGATCTGAGTTTTCCAATTACAAAGAAGCAATTTTTTTTCATTCCAGATCCCTATCTGATGTGAAACCATTATCCAATCAAAGTCTTTGCACATGATGAAGGAGAAAGCTCAGTGTGGTACATGTACGTCAAACCATCAATTAACTTAGAGTGGTCTGTATGCGCCACAATTTATATTAGCACCATTAGTACACTGGTGATGCCTTTGACAAATGCGCTTCATTGACAATTACCAACTCAGGTGGTGAATCTTTTTCTCCAAACTAGTGCCTTGTGTATGTGCATGTGTGCAGGGGATGGGTACATGTACAAGGACCTGCGCCACAGTATGTGAGGGGGGATTTCCTTCTTCAGAACTTAAGTCTGCAATGAAGAATTTTATTGAAACTAATTGGCCAAAACTCAGAGACTATGTGCTATGCACGTGCAAAGTTTTAACTCAGTCAAAGTGGAATGACATGGACTCCAGAAAGTTACAGGTGAGTGTTTCAAAATGTTGTAATTATCTGGCCTTATTTATCAGGCAGGTTGACTATTAAGTCCAACGTTGCTTTCATTTCTTGCCGAATGCTGTTTGGGAACTGTCACAGTGGAATGCTGTGTACATCAAAGTAAAGTTACATGTATTTGTGTGCTTCAAGATAACAGTAGTCTTCGTTCCAAGACGTTCCCAGCAGTACATGTAGTTCTTAGTGTAGCCACAAATATCAGGCTGGCTGTGTGTTTGTTGCATAGTGACAACAGAGCGCATTCCCATAAATGAACGATTAACATCACATATGTACACGTGTGTGCATAGCGGCTGGTACCCCACGAAAGAGGATGCTGTCACAGTGGAATCGCATTATGCGCCACACGCTGCACGAATATCGTATTGAAGAACTGCCAAAGGTGTCTTGGGCCCTAGGCTAAGATACATGTAACAGGTGCTGTTGCAGCATTTCTATGTGTACAGATCACATACCTTCAGTTGGTTCTTCCAGTACAGAAAGTGCCCATGCTTGTCCACACGCAGTGTCACAGGTGTTGCTGTGCTTGATTCCTGACAATAATTAAACCAAAAAAAAAAAAAGAGAAAGCCAATTTAAACTTCCACTCTTTACACACTGTGGTTGTCCTTCCTGATCCCCACAGAACCCTTACGTGTATAATTTACTTTCAAATCAAAGGAAAACCAGAAAGGAAAAACCAAGCAAACCAGCTCAAAACTGTCCCTGTCCTTGTGAAAGACGCAGCTCAAAACTCAAGTGGAAAGGAAATGAAAAAAAATGCATGATTAACAAGGCAAAAGGAACAGATAATGGTACATGTAACTGTACAAATATATATTATGCCCATGCATCAAGCAAGAGCCGATTACCTTCACTTTCATACCCTGGTAGGTTTCATTATCAGATAAACACAGTACTGGTATGTGCATGCACATGTATGTACATGTACATGTATGTGCCATTTTGGTTACCAACTTGCTAATTATGGTTGAAATTTATGCACAAATGGCAATATCATAAAACAAATGAAAGGTTTATTTGTATGAAGTATCACATCGAAATGAATGCGCCTTAATACTTAAATGTGGATACTGCCATCTTGGAATTTGTGTTGTATTGATCGCGTGTCGCCTGTGAACAAAGATTCTAATTTGTCAGAAAGTCGGTTACCGGTACATGTACGTACATGTGTGCGCTTGGCATCCATTTGCCACTGTCTGAGCCCTGATTCAAGAGGCAACCTAATATTGGTCAAAGATGGCTGAGCCTGCAAACCAGTTTGTTCTAGGGGAGAACAGGTGATCAAAGATCAGCTGTCATTGACATCACTCCAACTTTCTCCATGAACTTTCTCCACGACATGGTCGCTGATGAGCAATCTTCAATGCCAGGGATCCTCTTCTCCCCTTTCCCCCTTCAACCTGCACAGCCCCGCGGGAGTCTCTCACCTACACATCACTAGGGATTGTTTTCTTTTCGGGTTGAAAACCAATCATGGAGGAGGTCTTGCAGCAAATTAGACGCAGTCCAAAACAAAGGGAAAATTCAATATCTGCGAGGCGGTTCTTGTCTTCGATGGTGGAAGGTAACCATGGCAACAGGATCCACTGCGCATGTAGCTATTTACCGACAAGCTCTCCGCTCCACACCATACTGTACATGTATGTCCATGTACACACATGAATGTACATGTAAGCATATGTACATGTAGTCTGCATGGTAATGGCCGAGGCAATGAACTATGATCAGTTATAAATTCTGTGTCCAGGTGGCTTTGTTTTTTTATTCTCTAGACTTTGAGCAAAATAAAAATTGCTACATGTAGTGTTTGAAATTGACATTCAACCAGCCACTCTACAACATCAGATGCATGGAAGCACGAGCATACACACGTGTGCATATAGTATAGTAAAATGAAATCATACTTTAAATACACTTAAAATAAAAGATGAAAAGAAAACACCCATTTACTATAAAATGGCCCTTTATGAATAATATCGGAAACAAATAAATAATGGTTATTAATAAAGTGTGCTGTTTTTACATGTCATCCTTATGTGAAATATTTATGAGGTTGAAATTAGGCCTGGGTGTTTTTCGGCCCGCAAATCATTCACCAACCCTAATGAAGCATTCAACACTCATCCGTGCGCAACACAGTCTGGTGTGCACATGAAGCAAGCATGTGCATAAGCCGTCTGTGACCAAAAAGCGATATAGCGATAGGTGATGCAGAATGGCTGATTTTTCATTTGATATTGTGGCAATTTATGATATGTGAGCTCAAAATCACCTGATCCAACTAATGGCCCTTTATCAGAACTACTGCAATATTGTCTTGGAAAGTGAGATGACAAGCCATTAGATTTTACTCTTTTCCTTTTTACCGGTAATACAAATTCTGGACAACAGATCTGTATTAAGCACATGCCAAAACCTTTACAGCACATTAATATTTCCCTAATCTATGCACAATTCTGTCCGATAAATATGGCAGAGGGGGCTACCCTGAATGGCTAGATCCATTTATTCAATAAATTCAAAGTCGATATGGTATTGCATTTCTCCTGGGTGGCGTACAAACATACTGAAATGGTACCGAGCTTGAAACAATTCATTCCCATTTACTGAGTCACTTCATACTCTGGGGATAGCCTAAGTGACTGGTTCAGCATGAGATGGTCAACAAAGAATGAGTGCATATGGCAGTCATCAAAACAAGCCACAGTGTTTGTCGTCAACGCCAGATTATTTGGACAGACAACATTTTTATACTATGCACACTATGCACAGTCTCAGCTATTGGCAGCCAATTTTCTGTGATTACAGTATTTCGTTCTCTTATATGAGAACATGTAGCAGGCCAAGTCAACCACTGTTGTGCATGCACTTCTGCTGGTCATTTTTCCCAGATTGAAGAGCAACCTAACAAATTATTTTACCTGGATAAACAATGTGTGCATGAGACAATACAATCACATTATAGTTAGAGTGGTCCAAAAGTTAGTGTGTTTTGGTACAATGTACTGCATTTTTAAAACATAATAGGAATTTGTCAGAATAATTACAAAGAAATTTTAAAAGAAAAAGAAAATCCTCTCTAACATGGCCATGATCCTGCTCCTGGTTTTGCTTTAAAAATTTGCATGCCATAGTTCATAGTTGTTTTATTAATCCCAAAGGAAATTACATCTCTGCGTACAAGCCTCATTAAAAACCTGCAAAAATTACCATCTAAAACCTAATCATTTCAAGAATTCCCTTTTACACAGGCTTCCCTTCAAACTGATGTCAAATTCTGACTAGCGGCTGCAAGGATAAATGCCATGGTAACCTCCCTCCCCAAAACATTATCCAGATGAATTTTGCAACGGTAGGCTGATTGAATTCCCAAACCCAAAGGTGGGCAGCTTCGGTGAAGATGCAGCGCAGCCCAATTGCCGTGGCAACGCTCAAAGGGCCTCGTAAGATTCATCAACATGTCTGTTTTACTGTTTTTCACACCACAATTTCCCCAGCAGAACTCTGAGGACGTCACTGCTCTTTTTTTTTGTACGCAGATAATAAGGCATGTTATTGCTCGTACGTGTAATAGATCTTATTCACTGGGAAGCCAGTTTTGATCGTGTTCCCAGAATCCAATTCACTGCAATCTGTTAAATGGAGTGTCGCCAGACTGTTTTGGGTCTTATGCCTCACTTTAACTTTTTTAATTTGGCTTAAAACATGTAGATATAATTAATCAGAAACTGTAAATTATTTATCAGCATAAATGACATAAAAATGTAATGAACTTTTATTTAATTGCTTTCACTTTCATTTTTTTTCTTTTATAAAGTTGGCCTCACTTTCAATTCATTATGGCCGACATGTGAATAAGGTCACTTATGTGAATCATAAGATGATAACAATGCTGAGAACCTTTATTACCTTCTACACGTACAATGTAGTTTGGGCGATTACTGAAAGAATTTTTCTTTTTGTTTAATTGCAAAGAAGAGAGATTCACACATGATAATACTGTACATCTGGGCTAGGCAGAGGGTGACATTAAATAAACAAAAATGTTCGGACATCATCAATGTTCAGTCTCCAATTTATCGAGGTCAGATGCGCAGCCACTTGTGGCCTGTCATCTAATTTCGCTAAACACCTGTTGCCTGAGTTTACAAACAGTGTAGCTTCACAATCAACAAAGAATACGATGGTCCTACCGGCGGGTTAGCACACTGTCCTTGGTTGACATTTTTATCACGATTCAAAATGATGCAAAAGTGTATGCAAAGCAATGTCACAAACAAGCCAATGGGGTATCAACACAAGAGGGGCATGCTGACAATGCAAGGAGGAGGTGCTGATGTTACTTGCTTCCAATGTACATTGTTACATTACTTCCCTTTCAACGCTCAGTTAATGTTTTTCAGATTCAACCATTTTGGTAGGAACTCAGGACTACATTGTGAACCTTCAAAAGTGCTAAAACAAAAAACCTGCAATGAAGAGCAGGGTTCAACCTTTACACTGGTCCACTAGCCAAATTTGAGTAAAAAATGCGGCGGTCTAGCAAAAGCCCTCATCTGGGTAGTCCGGCTGTCGAGTAAAGCAATATTCTGAAATAATTATAAGCGGCGAAATAGTTGATCGTGATCCATGTCCTGTAGCTGCTGCTGCGTGCTGGTTTTTGAACCAAATAAAACACCACCTTTTGCAACCAAGACTATTTTGGTCCCTGGTACCAGCTAATTTAAGCAGAAGTAATGCTGAAGTCAATGAAGGAGTGTCGAGAAGCAGTAAATCGTTAAAACATCTGTTCCACAATGCCCATGCTGCGCGATCGCACATAAGGCCACTTAAAAAACAAAATAAGCATCAGTTGTATTTGCAAAAAACGATGAGGGAGGAGGTTTTTTTTTTAAATACTTTGGTATTCTCGCAGTCAGAATGACGTCACTGATTCTTGATTCTTCTCTCTGATTGGTCAATGGTGGCTATTCTATATTTCACACCTGAAACTCAAAGGGGCAAAAATAGTGTTGCCGTCTATGGGGAAAATCTGATTAACTCTTAACCTTTATATCAAATGTGCCTGATATTTCACTATTTATGCGCTATGAATATCTTCAACACTGTACCGAAAAGGTTTCAGTTATATTTATCACGTTGCAGCAAAAAAAGGAGGAAAACATGCAAATCCCTGTACAAAGTGAATGGGGAGCTGCCCTTTTGCCCAGAAGTGAATGTAATAAACAGAACAACCTCCGACCGCGAGAATGCATGCTGATCTGGAAAGCGCCATGTTCACTCCTGACTCGTGCAAGTGCACATGACATTGTGTGTACGTACTCAGGTCGCACGTTGGCATGCACGAGGTTGTGCAGGCATTGCAGAAACTACGGGGGAAGGCTAAGGACATAAAAAAAGACTACTTTTAAAGAAAAAAACCCACAAGCACAGGGCAAGATTTTTTGAGGCGGAGCTGATGCTAAACTAAATATTTTTTTCATGTGGCCTAACTGTTAGCCGTTAGCTGTACTTCCGGCCATATGGCTGG